TATATATATTGATTTTTTTAAAGACAGGGTTTCTCTTTAGCTTTGGAGCCTGTCCTGGAACTCACTCTGTAGACCAGGCTGGCCTCAAACTCACAGAGATCTGCCTGGCTTTGCCTCCCGTGTGCTGAGATTAAAAGCATGTGCCACCACCACCCGGTAGGCATAAATACTTGAAATATTAATCTAGACTTTGACCTACTCAAAACCTGCTCAACTGGGTTCAGATCACCCCTTATGTCCGTCTTTTATGGCACACATTAACTTTAAAAGGGGGCAGCCATGACCTTTACTTTTCTAATGCACTATCAAAAACATCAACAGTTTAGTCTTTTTCTTACCCAATTTCCTTAGTGCTGAGGGTGTCACATTCTCTTCGTGGGGTCTGGGCCTATCTCTGATGTCCAGCCAATGGAACTGAAGTATGACTCTTGTCATTTATCCTCCACAAATTACGTTATTAAAAGTACATATTTCTACAATTACCTACATCTCCTGGCCAAACTAAAAGACCAGAGGCTGTTGAATTGTTAATTTCTCTTGGCCTCATCTTAGCCAAAGGTACAAGAGCAGGGAGTCCTTATGAATGGCCAGAGCTTTCTAGAACTCACAAGGCAAATAATTACAATAGCCACAAAGTTTTGGTAATATGGGACTAAGTAGATTTACTTATAACCATCATAATTCAGATCTATCAGGCTGTAGATTTACTTGTAACTGCTTAAGCCAGAGCTTGCCTATATCAGAATAAATGAAAGCCTTTGTTCTTAAAGTCTCCAAAAACATCATTTAAAATACTAGAAATTTTCAAAAGCAGGGACCTGAAATGGTGAATTTTAAAGATTTATTTTTATTGTATGTGTTAGTGTTTACCTGCATGTGTTTATGTATGTGTACCACATGTGTGCTAAGAGTCTGTTGAAGCTAGAAGGGGGCATTGGAGCCCCTGGAACAGGAGTTACAGACAATTATGAGCCTCCTCGTGGGTTCTCCGAACATAACCTAGATTCTCTGCAAGAGCATCTGGTGCTCTTAAAAGCTAGAGCAGCCTTTCTGGTTCTAACTGGTAAATTGTGAGATGGCTCAGAGAGCACAGATGTTTGTTTCTGGTCCCTGAAAACCAGAGAAAGGAAAGAAGGGGCCCTTTCAAGTTTGTCTTCTGGCCCATCATGGTTAAGTTTAGCACACAGGAAGAAGACTGCAAGACAGACTCTGTGGTTCCTCTCTTCCTTCTGATTTTATTAGTTCAGGCCAAACTCAACAGAGAGCACAAATGAGGAGCCCCAAGTGATGTGTCTATGGATGTCTGTCTTCCAGGATAGAGCTTGGTTAAAAAAAAAAAAAAAAGTAGAAATAATTTAGGGAGAAGGAAAGAAAAGAAGAAATGCTGTCGTTATAAATGTTCTCTAGAACCATTGAAGATTCAAAGCAGAACCATATATGGCAGGACAATTAAAAATATCTCCAAGCCTACTTCGCTATAATTTCCTTCTTCACACTGAGTTTTAAAAAGTGTTCTATTACAGGGATGTGCAGATTTTTCTTGTAAAGGCTTTGCTAGTACTTTAGAACTTGGGCTTAAAAGGCAAAATTGAAAAATGATTCGATATTTTTAGTCATTTGAGATGTAGGATTTAAACAAATATAAAATAGTCACTCAAATTCAGCGGGCAGAATTTGACTTGTGGGCAGCAGCTTGGTCAACCTCTGATCTAATTTTTGCTCTAATTTTCACCTTAATATCTGCTAGGCAATTTTAATGTCAAGTTAAAACCACACCACTTCCTCCTGACCTCTCACACTAGGATTCTGAGCTGAGATAGAACACCAGCTCAGGCCAGTCACTGAAGCGACCTAGTGAACTTTGAGAAGACAGAGGCTGGGACGAGATTAGAGTCCAGCAATCCTGGTAGCAAACCTGGAAGCTCTGAGGAGGAATTGTTTCGCTCTGTGTTTCCATGAGAAAGTGTCCTTTTCTTTGCTTTCCTTTATCTCTGTTTACCTTTAGTTTGCTTGTCTGCTGGTGAGAGTCCCACTCAGGAAACAGAATACTAATTTGCCACCCCTGCCCTTTGTGTAGCAAACCCAGGGAAGCAGTCTGCTCCACCCTATTTGGTCTCACACCCATTCTTTAATAAACATGCATGGCTCGTGGACTAAAGGACTGAAAGATAAGAACAGTGATAACACGAGTTTAGGACAGGAATGTCGCCTTAGGAGGAAGAGTCAGTTCCTAAAGGAAAGTCCCACGCTGTGCCCATGGGAAAGGATTTCCACAGGAAAGCTCGCCTGTTCCAGGGAAACACAAATGTCAGGATTACAGACCAATGTGTGGCATGATGGCAAGGTGGGAAGCCAGATACAAGTCTCTGTCATAATCTCTCCACCCCAATACCGCACATTAGATTTGGTAGACATGGATTGGTTATTACTGAACGACTATGACTGACTTCTCCCTGCTGCTTGTGAGCACTCTTTTTCCAGAAGGGCCCAGAATTTTATTAATTCGGTGTGCTTTAATTCAATGTGTTGTTCCCCCTGTTAAAGGTCCATAGATACATATATATGCTCCAACCCTGGATACAAGAGAGCCTGCTTGGCACTCAGTAATCATTTTACAGAAGTCTCAATCTCAGAGAGGTTCTTAGACAGGTCCTATCAGGTCGGGCTGGCAGGTGCAGCCGTCGGTCCCTTCCTCCAGGACACAGATCTGTGGCCCGGTCTGGGCGCGGCAGCCACAAAAGCGAGGAGGAGGAGGCTGTCTGGCTCGCACGCCCGCGCGTGCGGTGCAGCCCTGCAGCTCCCGCCCCCCGCCGCCGCCACCGCTGCCGCCGCCGCCTTTCTGTCTCCTCTCTCCCTCCGTACTGGACTCCGGTGCATTTCCGGCCCGGGGGGAATTTGGGCATCGGAGCCGGCCCGGGTGCTCGGGTGGCTGCGGCCGGCCCGCGGGGTGGGCGTGCGTGCGCCCAGGTCTCCTCCGTGCGCCCGCCCGAAGCCGAGCAGGCGCCATGGCCGACGTGAGTGTGGATCAGTCCAAGCTGCCGGGCGTGAAGGAAGGTAGGCCGGGCCTCGATCGCGGGTCCCGGGGAGCGGGGCTGCGTGGGGCGCGGGGCCGGCCACGCGTGCGGAGACCGGGCCTGGGCCGCCAGGGGCTGCGGGAGGTTCCACGGCCGGGACCGCGGCCCGGTTCTGTCCAATGGACGCTTAGTGTGGTAGAAACCACAGCCCAGCCAGCCTGGCCAGGGCCAGGGGGCGTTCGGAGTGGGGCCTTTGTTTTGAAACATGACCCTCTCCTTCTGTTCTTTCTGCTTCTCTCTTCTCCCTCCTTTCTGTCCTCTACTTCCTCCCTCCCTCCTCTCCCTTTTTATTCTCCTCCCTTCTCCCTTCTACCACAGTGTCTGGCTGGCTCTTTCTCACCTTCCAAAGGGTTTCACGTTGTAAGCTTGGCATTGCCATAAATGGATGAACCCCAAGTCCCCGTAAGCATCACCCTCTCCCTTCTTTTTAAATAAAGACTGGAATGGAAGGGGTGGGGAGTCTTGGAACCCTCATTTTTCATGGCTCCCACATTGAAGTCCAGGAAAATAAGATTGCCTAGTCCTGGCCAGGCAGAGCACTGCAAAAAGCCTTCATCACATGCCCTCGGGCCTAACATTTTTTAAAAATTGTTTTGGTTACTGGCTCATCTTAACTTCAGTCGTTGGCTCTCCAGGTCTTAGGAAGTTCCAGACTTAAGCATGTCAAACCCCAGAATGTTTAAGTGTGCTATGGTAAAGGCAGAAGTTCTCTGGGCCTTTGTTGTGGATCCCATTGGTTTCTTCTGGGACCTGTGGCCAACCCTGGGGAGTGTTTAAGTGAAAACTAAGGAATTTGCTTTCTTCGGACTTTAGGTTTCCTTGCTAACTTAATGTGAGGCAAATGGTCTTGCTCAGGCCAACCTAGAAATCCCAAGCCTCTTAGTGACTGCTTGGCTGCCTCAGCCCTGTAGTTAAAGGGAGCTCAGTGGCCCATAGTTCAAATTGTAGCTGGTTTGGATCTAGTCCTTTGTTTCTAAAGGGTAATAATGTCCTCAGGCGAAGCTTTTAGTGTTAGCATTTTTCCATCGTTTAGGATCCTGGCTTGACTTTGGTTATTATGTTTTTTTTTTTAATTTATTTTTATTTTTTTTTTTAGTTCACCGAAGCTAAGAAGCTGAACAATGGGGAAGGCAAACTGGTTCTCTACCAGGAGGCCTGTTGTAGAGTTTGCTTCTTCCAGGCTGTCTCCTGCTTTTAGATATGGGTTTTGTGTACATGTGTGTTGGCTGGTTTTATGGCTGAGGAGAAAGCCTTGGTAGTACTCTCATTGTTTGTGGGTGTGGCTGAGAGTGAGACTTGGAGTTCAAACAAAGCCTGACACACACAAAGCTTCAGCCCCCTGGTGCTGTGCCTTCCCCCTTCCCCAACCGTCCATCTTGTGTCAGTGTCCTGGCAAGCACTTTATGTTTGTGGATGCTTTGTAAGCCTGAGGTCTTCTGATTTCTTACCAAGACAGGCCTAAGTCCTGCTAGTGTCTGAGTTCATACTTGTCATCTAAAGCTGTTTCCCATTCCCAAGCACCAAGAGTCTGGATACATTCAGATTGGTTTTCATTTTGGAGAACATGCTTGGCATTCCTGTTTACATACTCTGATAAACTGATAAGAAAATATAGTGGGGCTCCCTTCTAGTGCCCTTGTTAGATTAGAATTTGATACTAGTTCACTTTGAAGGGTCGGAAGCTGTTGGAGTCGTTGTCCTTGGGAAGACCTGGCTTCTCTGGTTCTAAGATCATCAAAGGACGGATAGATTTATTAGGAGCACCCCCACAGTGGGGAGATTTTGATCTGTGAAGTATTCAAGTCTAATAATTTGTATCTTTCTCTCATATAATGCTTAATTATGGCCCAGTTACCACCCAACAATATCTTCTCCCTAATTAAAGAGAACCCGACGGTGCCTACGATGGAGCAGAGTGTGCCCTGACTCTGTGATGTCCTAAAACTCCAAGGGTGTTAGTCGCACTTTGCTTAATATTTTGGCTCAGGTTTTTGAATGTCATTAAAAAGATATCTATCTCTGTGTTTCCCACTTTTCTTTCTTTAAACCTTGGTGGCTTTATTTATGTACAGTTACATCTGATGTCATGGGTGGTTCCAGTGGAGTCTGGCAAGATATAAATGTGGCCTTTTCTTACTGTCCTTTCTCTAAGAGAATGTAGGACACTTTGAAACGGATGTATCAAGAACAGATATCAGGGTCCCATAATACTTCCATGAATTATTTCCTAGGTTAACGTATAATGTTTGCCACTTTGGTTTTTATGGAGGTCAGAGCTTCCGTCAGGCCCTTTACACACACACACACACACACACAGTCGGGATGTTCATACTCTTTGGAAAGCAAATTAGGAAACAAGGACGACTGAGTTTTACAGGTGAACAAAGTTAAGTCATTTAAATGTGCATACACTCCTATCTCACAGTCAACGTATATTTGGAACATCCATATGCTTTTGTGATGAAAAAGGTGTCTTTTCTTTTAGTGGTCTGCCAAATCTTGTTTTGTATTCCTATTGTTTAGATGGCAAGGCTGATCATTTGCCACATCTTAATAATCTGCGCCCTCCACCCCATTGTGTGCCTGCAAGTAGCAACATGGCTGACATCTAAAATCAGTACACACAGGAGTGACTTGTTTTTAGAGTATAGGCTCTGTTTTCAAGCCAATTATTTTTATAATAAAAGATAAAATTCAATATAGTTTTAGAAATAGCTATACAAATAGTCATACTAGAAAATGCTGGTTGATTTTCCATCTGAGACTCCCAGGTGGCACAGTGGGGTAAATTAATACTTCAAGAGGAAGATAAAATAATGCCTGCCCCAGTAAATTACCCAGTAGCTCCAGAGATCCAACACTTAATGCCTGCCCTCTGGGCAGCTGATGTGGTATCAGCATTTGACTGGTTGCAGGGAAAGTTTTCCTTTCCTTTTCTTCAAATTTTCATAGCAGATTGTGCTGATTTTAATGAGATTCTGATTAAGACTCTTTGAAATATTTTATTTACCTCACTGTATTCTCCACATCTACATTCATGGCTTTCATAGAGCCAGAAATTATGCAGGTAATATATGAATATGTGAATGAGTGAGTAACTGAGTGAGTGCACATATTTTACATGTTCCCTGTCTGTTTTAGAATTCTGTCTATACCATGACTCTTTTATATTTCTTCTCAGACTATATGCTTTTAAAGACATAGTTCCTTTTAATTCTAGCACATACCAGTAATGCCATCATTGAGTTTATAAGGGCATACATCTACACACACACACACACACACACACACACACACACACACACATTTATGTGAATATATATCTTGTAAGTAGAATTCATCTGATAAACATGTAAGACATACAAAAGAAGAAATTTCTTGTTTTATATTCTGGCTTTGAAAATAATACTGGAATAAAAATATACTAAAATAATATTTTCTTAAGTACAAAGTGGTGTGACACAATTTGGGAACTGTATAGACAGATTTTTACAAAAATAAATTTTTTTAACTCTAATATTTGGGTGTTTAGATTGCACGTATGTCTGCACTATGTGGGAGTTTGGTGGCTGTGGAGCACAGGAGGTGGTGTTACAACACTTAGAACTGGCATTACAGATGGTTATGAGCTGCCATGTGGGTTCTAGAAATTGAATACAAGGCAACTGGAAAGACACTCAGTGCTTTTAGCCTCTGAGCCATCTCTCTAGTCTCTAGATACAGATTTTCTAAAACAGTCTGCTCATTTCCATATAAGGTATGAGGGTAGCTACATAATACAAGTGCCTTGGGCTAAATGGCTGAGATCTAGACTGCAATTTATAATGTGTGGAGTTGTTCTAAAGAACCCTCAGATTTAACTGTTTGTGCTGTGTTTGTAATCTCAACAAGCAGGGGGATTATAAATCTGAGGCAATCTTGAGCTACACATAAGAGACACTTTGTCAGAACCAAAACAAACTTGTACACTTTTCCCATCATATGTGTTCTAAAAGTACCTCTAGCTCAAAGAGGTAAAAGCCTGTGTGGAAATGTAAGTATAACTTCTGAAGTGCTTCATGTACTATTAGTGTGTTTAAGAATAGAGTGAGAATTATGAATAGTAAGACTGTCTCAGAGATTTTTCTGAGGAGTTACTTTGGGGATAATATCTTCCATATTTTCCATGATGCTTCATGGGTTTTATTTTTTTTAGATAAATATTTTTTTTTCTTTTTGACTCTCTTGTTTGAGCAAATAACTTATTCCATGGATTCCTGGAAGTCACACTCCTGTCTCAGTGTTTTTCTACTTGGAAAAAAAAAATGCCTGTTTTTCTTGTATACTTAGCTTTCATAAAAGAGTTAATGTTTAAGGGTATAAGCTGTCTAAAATTAAACTTCTTAGGGAAGTAAACTCAAGAGAAATCATGGTTCCTAGTTTTTCTTTACTTCCTCTGTACATTTTCCAGATAAATGAATTTTGCTTCAGTGACCAAAAGCACTGTTAGTGCCATTAGATGAAGGATTTTTTTAACTGGTGACACACTTAAAGATGTCCTTGCTTCATAAATAGACAATTAGGAACCTAGATCTTTGATAAGACCTACAAAAGGTAATTGGTTTTATATTCAGATGCTTGAAATAAGATACTAATATAAACGAGTGCTCAGATACTATTTTTTTAAAGGTGACAAATAACTGTTCTTTTTGACACAATTTCATTTAAAACACATTCACACAAACATGAAGGTGTGTACACGAGGTAGCTAGTGAGCATAGTGTCATGAAAACCTTACTTTTTACACAGTACTTGTTTACATAGTACTTCCTCTTCTTTCTTTTCCTTCAGTGGAGTTCATTGAGTTATGGTTTATATAGGATGAAATACCATTCTTCTTAGTATATGGCTGTGAAGAGCAGTAGAGTCTATTTAAAAGTTTGCTGATTTTTGTAATTAGACTTCTTATTGAGCTTGGACAATTCTCTATACATGCATCTT